AGAACAATTAACCAGTGGAACAACCTGCCTCCAGAAGCGGTGAATGCTCCAACACTGGAAGTTTTTAAGAAGAGACTGGACAGTCATTTGTCCAGTGGGCCTAAATGGCAGGAACGACAGGTGCTGTCTGAGCAGGGGGTTGGACTAGATGACCTCCAAGGTCCCTTCCAACTTTTATCATCATTATTATCATTATTATTATATATGTACAGAAAATTACTTAGGGGAGTTCCCTATAAAGGAGTTGAAATATCTCCTGATGGGTTCCATCATCGTTCCATCGCTACAATGAGAGGAACTTTCTCTTTCCCTTTCCCTGAAGCTCTTTAAAAATGACGTCCTTTCACACTTTTTTCCCTTCCCTCTTCACCCTAATTTCTTTATTATTTCGGTGGCATTTCCTGGGGTTCATTTTTTTTCTTGGCAGTGATTCTCTAAAGCAGGGTGAATGAAGCCGTAAATACTACAGCCTGCAGAGGCCGTCTAATAAATTACAGTGCAGGAGCTAAATTCGACGGTGATACAGAAGAAAATTGTAAAGTACACGCTCGAGTCTTGTTATCCTGAAGGCACGGCTGTTCTCTTAGTGCTCTCATTGCCCTGCCTTATTCCCCAATATTAACTATGAGACATGCAGTCGACTAGGTGTGACATCTTAAGTGAGAGGCATTTTAGTCATTGTTAAAGCGCTTGAGTAAAGTCTGCTGGTGTGCCTCTGAAAATGTTCTGGTACGTTGTTATTTACCTTTTCGATTGTGTCCTTGAAATGTCATCTAACTTCACCTACCTGACTTGATTGCACAACAAAGAAGCATTGCAGCGTAGAGGGCCTGGCTGACAAGAAGTCTTTGTGAATAGCTTTGGTATAACTGGGGCAATGGTGAATAGGCTGGATGATGTAGAACAGTGTTTCTCAACCTTGACAATTTTAAGGCATGTGGACTTCAACTCCCAGAATTCCACAGCCAGCAATGCTGGCTGTGGAATTCTGGGAGTTGAAGTCCACATGCCTTAAAATTGTCAAGGTTGAGAAACACTGATGTAGAAAGTTCTGTGGTTAGGCATAGATGACATCAACTTGCCCCCTAGTGGTCAAATTAGAATGGCATTGGCTCAGAAGAAAAAAAACCTGTTGACAACATTTGATTAATCTTTAATTTTTTTTCCCCCTAGGCCCAGCTTGGCTACCTTTGCAGTCAAGCCAACTTCTAGGCCTGCTCTCTCACTGGCTCTTTTTGGGCAATGAGGCAGCTTGAAGGGCACCTGCCTGCTCTCCTGTATTCTGCCAGGACTGAGAGGGAAGGTCATGCTGGATTTCTTTGCTGCCACATTACCCAAGCATGAGAGATGCTGCTGGGAAAGTAGCTGTCAGGGCATGCTCTTTTACAAATGCTCTTGATTTTAGAGTGGACGAGGTAGCAGTATTAGGGTAATGAGTAGAAGCGTGCACTATTCAGGTCCCAAAGTGCAGTGTTGTAGTGGGTGGATATCATCCTCATTGTATCTGACAGCAGCCCTCTAAAGCAGAGGTTCCCAACCTTTTGGGCACCAGGAACCGGTTCCGTGGAGAGAGGTTTTTCTGCGGACCGGACAGTGTGTGGTTTTGTGTGCTGCCTGCATCCCACGGATGGGGCTTCGCTTGTTTGTGCGGCCCGGTTGCTGGCATGCCGGGACCAGTACCGGTCCATGGAGCCCGGGAGTTGGTGACCCCTGCCCTAAAGGAACCATATCTTTTTCTAGGCTCATACTTGCAGAGCATTAGCATTGCATCCTCCCATGCTACGTAGCATATCGGATCACATACTTGCAGGCTTTGGAAAATAGGAATTTTGAGTCCACGGTGCCCTGTCATCACCTCTTAAATGCTGATTGGTATTTTCCCCAAGGCCATGTGACCATTCTGGAAGAGGCACGGCTGCTTTAAGGAGATACCGACAGTTATACGTATGTGCCCACATCAGATCCAAAGCATCTTTGGATGCAAATACTGTTCACCTCTAGTTGACGAGATGATGGTGCCTGAGGCTTACCAGGGAGTGTGCCTTTTCTAATTCTGATTGCAAAAGTCTCCCCATTAGAGAGATACTACAGCTCTTCTCTGTAGCATCGGAGCTTGGCTTGATAAGAGATGGCTTACCTGGTCTCTTGCTTTCTTTTCTGTTTGCAGGAGTTACGAAGACATGCTTGTGGACGACATGGCTAGAGACCAGTATTACTGGTCCCCAATGGCACAACATGATAGAGGCAGCCTAGCCAGTCTGGACAGCTTGCGAAAAGGAGGCCCACCTCCAGCCAATTGGCGCCAGCCTGAGCTCCCCGAGGTGATAGCCATGCTGGGGTTCCGCATGGACGCCGTCAAGTCCAATGCCGCAGCCTACCTGCAGCACCTGTGCTACCGAAATGACAAGGTGAAAACAGATGTGCGCAAGCTAAAGGGCATTCCTGTACTTGTTGGGTTACTGGATCATCCCAAGAAAGAGGTGCACTACGGGGCGTGTGGGGCCCTGAAGAATATCTCCTATGGCAGAGACCAGGACAACAAGGTTGCCATCAAGAATTGTGACGGTGTTCCTGCTTTGGTGCGGCTGCTTCGAAAGGCACGTGACATGGACCTCACTGAAGTCATTACAGGTAAACCATTGCTGGCATTGCCCACAGAGAACGGCTAGCAATATAAGGGCCTTTGTGGCACACAGATCCATTTTTGAATAACATTATATTCTCCACCGCAGGGACACTCTGGAACCTGTCCTCTCATGACTCAATAAAAATGGCCATTGTGGATAATGCCTTACATGCCCTCACGGATGAGGTTATCATCCCACACTCTGGATGGGAAAGAGAGCCCAACGAAGACTCCAAACCCCGCCATATAGAGTGGGAATCGGTGCTCACAAACACCATTGGCTGCCTTAGGTGAGCTGGATCGATGTTGTTATTACAAGGACTCTTGATAGTTCTCTGAAGAGCAGCATCCAAGCTGCAAAAAATCAACCAAGGACGCTGAAACTTGAGGGTTTCCCTCTGGGGGAAAGGCCATTTGGTGCCAGGTGTTGTTTCTTAGAATAATTTGGTCCGAAAAGAGATACAGTGCTGGTCACGAAAGAGGATCTTCAGTGACTTGCTGCTTCCTGACTTACCTGATACGCAGTAACCTTGAGTTGGCTTTATAACTTTGGACAATAAACCAAAACTGGGAATAAGAGGGGCTTTTCAGAATGAGCAAAACAGAGCTGCTAATAGTTTCAGTAGAGCTTTTATCAAAAAAATAGAACTACCCTTTGGCAAGATGGGCAGCCAATAAATTTTATAAATAAACAAATGTAAATAAAATTGGCAAAAATCAACATTCAAACGGATGGCATGCGTCTGAACTTTGTTCAGTCGTGTCGAGGGTGGCAGCATTGGCTGACATCTCAAGGTCTAATAGAGGGTACGTTAAAGATTGCAGAAGACTGAAGAATCCTCCTGTTGCTGAATTTAGAAGTTCACACCAGGGCCTTGAAATTCTCCACCCAAACTCCCACATGGATTAGATTTCACAGATTGTGCTAAGCTTCAGTGTGATTTGTCTGGCTTACCACCTACTGTGAAGCTGGTAATTTGTAATGTGGTGTTTTAATGCTTGGCATGCTTTGTGAAATCAAGCACAGCAGGGTTGGACAAATAACGCTGTAATGCGTTGTGTGAACCTAGCCAGAACGTGAGAGTAGACAGTTGGGTTAAATTGGCTTAAAGCTGACATATTTTAAAAGCCATAAATAACCTGCTGGTGTCTCCATCCTTCTACAAGATTTTCTTGTTTTATAGGAACGTCAGTTCGGAGAGGAGTGAAGCCCGTCGAAAGCTGCGGGAGTGTGATGGGCTAGTGGATGCACTTTTATACATTGTCCAAGCAGAAATTGGCCAGAAAGATTTAGACAGCAAGGTAAGGAAGGGGGGGGGGGAAAGCACACAAACTTCCCTCCGCCGCTCATTTGTAGAGTTCAGTGGAATATATGCAGTTGGGCTTTTCCACCATCTCAAGTTATGTGAGTTCTGTTCGGGCTAATCTTTCCTGAGCAAAGAAAGAAATCCTATATAGTTAGAAATCTGAAGTTTCATCTTACGGGGATTGAAGAAGGATATTGAAATTTTCATCTTCGGATGGGTGATTTAAAAACAAAAGTTAGAGCATCATTTCCCCTCGGCGTGCATACATTTTCTTCCCATTTTCTCTCCCAGACACATTATGTGCAAAGCAGGGCATAATACCTGTTCCTCCTGCCACTTCCTAGGACTCCTCAGGGATAAGCAGCTTAACAAGACCATCCTCCATTTGTGGCAGTGAGTCACTATACAGCAGGCAATCAAGTTGGTTATAGTTCGAATATTAGTGTTCTAAAGCAGAGGTCCCCAACACCCGGTCCATGGACCAGCATCGGTCCGTGGCATGCCAGCAACCAGACCTCACAAACAAGCGAAGCCCCATCTGCGGGATGCAGGCAGCATGCAAAGCCACACCCCCTCCAGACCAGACATGTCAAACTCGCGACTTCACGTGACGTCGCACAACGTATCGGGGCGGTTTTGCCATTGCCGGCAGTGGGGTGGGCACGGCTTCGGTGTGACGCATCCGGCCCGTGGGCCAGCAGTTTGACACCCCTGCTCTAGACGGAACCGGTCCCTGGTGCCCCAAAGGTTGGGGGCCACTGTTCTAAAGTTAAAGAACAATAACTATCTACCCCAATCACATGGCTTGTGATTAGGAATTATGGAGGTTGTTGTAAGCTGCCTGAGAAAACTGTTTCGAAGGACGGCAAAAATATTAAAATAACTAACATAATCTAAAATTCTTGAAAGAATTCCTACTCTAGTAAATCTGACTACGCCACCCTTAATTCTTAAAACCCGAGTGAAGAATAGCACAGAAGGACGAAAGAGACTGGTTCTTCTTGTTAGGACATTCTTCCTTCTGATAAGAGTTGCCACTTCTCCCTTTCTGTGTACGCGTTTCTTCTGACTCAGTGCCTACATCTGTACCTTTGACAGCGCTCTTTTCAGCAGGGAACGTATAAACACTCCCACAACCTTCAGCAACTCAGTTTTGTATCTCCTCATAAGAATTTTTAATTTCAGCTTTCTGCCCAGAGGGCACTCTACCTAGTTAATAGTTTTTAAAAAAATTAAAATAGGGTAAAATCACTATTAAATAATGAAGCCTGAAGAGGCCTGGGTATGCTATGAAGCGTTTGAGCTCCTGTGGCTTTTCCTGTCTCACCTGAGGAACTGTCTTCCCCAGCTTGTGGAGAACTGTGTCTGCCTATTGAGGAACTTGTCCTATCAAGTGCATCGTGAAGTCCCACATGCCGAGCGCTATCAGGAAGCCCCCATCAATGCTGCCAACAACACTGGCCCCCATGCAGCCAGTTGCTTTGGTGCCAAAAAAGGCAAAGGTATGTAACTTCTGAGTATCTGCTCCTGGGCTAAGTAGCCGGAGAACAGGGAGGGTAGAACTAGAAGGGAGAGGATGTTGGCTTATAAGGGCTTCTAATCCTTGGCTTCATAAGACAAGCTATTGCTTTCCATAGAAGCATCTTGGGGTCACTTTCTGGCTGTCCTGCTCTTTATCCCACAAGGCCTAAGGACTGTGTCAGTAGCATTTTTGTTTGGTAATTCAGCTCAGGTGATGGATGGTTCCTTCAATTAATTTGTGGCCTATTTCCCCTTCTCTCTGCTTTATATTTTTTTCCTCCCAAATGGCTGTGATCCTGCTGGCATCTCTTCTCTCTTGCCTTCCTTCTCCCCTGTCCTTCTCTGCGCCAAAAGATGAGTGGTTCGCTAGAGGTGAGTTGGGCTTTTTGATTTTTTGGGCATGCCTGTGTGTGTGGTGCACCATTTTCCCTCCCGCTCTCATCATCAGTGTGATTGAACCCAATCAGAAGCATAAGCAAGGAGGGCGTTAAATGTTTGCAGACCCCCTTGCTTGTCTCGTGGAGAGAGGATGCTCTGTTTCTGTTCTTTTGCTTGGCGCTGCGTTTAGGGAGAGCCATCAGACCACCCAAAGGAAATAGGATAACGATGGAACAAATGAAGTCAGCATGAAAGCCACTTCTCCATTAAGATATTAAATTAAGATTTCAGAAAACAGGCTTGGAAATAAACATTGACTCCAATAACGGAATATACCTGGCTATTGTGTTCTGAGTGTATTCTCGGATTGTGTACGGATAACCTCCTTTATGGGCAAGAACAGTGCCGGTGAAAACTACTAAAAGAACCACTTAGTAATTTTGTTTTGATTTCTGTGGATTAATTTTTATTACTTGCTGTCTTCATACAGGGGTTTCTGCTATTGCAGTCTTTGCAAAATTCCCAATCCTTAAAGATAAATTTAAAGTTAACTCAAACAAATATAGATTTTGAACAAATTTTAGGCTAACTGGTGGAGTGCCATCTGGTCTATAGTCAACTTCATTTTACTCAATTTTAGTAAACCGAGTAAAATGATTTTAGATGCCTTCGGAGAAAAGCAGTTACTTGGCACACTAGCATGGTGTGAACCCAAATAAATATGAGAAAATAGAGAATTCGTTCTCTGAATTTGAGCGTGGTAGCATCTAGTCCTTAATGGAAGAGTACATTGATTCTAATTTTGACGGTTAACTTAATAGGAAAGAAGCAAACTTGGATTTGTGCATCATGCTTCACCATAATTTGTTCAGTAAGCCACATATGGCTATTGCAAATCAAGCTACAAACTATAGTTTATAAATGATTGGCTGGTTTCGTGCATCTTGCCAAGAAACAGATGGCCCATGATGGCTTACTACAGCCTTTTACATCTAACTGCCTGCTGATAATGTAGATTTCAGTTTCTAGAGTTTCCTAGCCAGCATGGTCATCAGTGAGACTTCTGAAAGTTGAAAGTCCACATGTCTGGAGGCTCTGATTTTACCCAGCATATTAAACCGATAGTTTTAAGAGCATATTTGAACATGAAAATTTAAATTAAACGGAAAAGGATCATATTCAGATGCTTGGCATGCATGGAGTTTCAAATGCACTCTTGGCATCTCCAGTTAAATTTGTGTGATCAAAATGCTAGGAGAGACTTTTTGGGGGGAGAGTTGCTGGTAATTGTAACAGATGGTGCCGAAATAGACAGTTCATTAGCCTGGCTTCTGTGAAGGCAGATCTAATTATAGTTTAGTAGGTGTGAATTTCTCCTTTATTTGTGCATTTTTCCTTAAGCAAAAGAAATCAAAGTTTGGAACTATATTTCTTGTGTCTGGCTATACTATAGGCACTAAGCGGGCTCTGTATCTTAGGATTTCTTTTTGTTATGTTTCTTCTTTTTCTTTTGAAGGTAAAAAGCAGACAGAGGATCCTTCCACTGATATAGTTGACTTCCCCAAAAGACAAATCCCTGCAAAAGGTATGGTTTCTTTTGCTGTTGGACGAAGAGTAGCTCAGTGAAAGCAAACATGCTTTGTTTGCACAAGGTCCTGAATTTGATCCTTCCTAAGATAAAGCACAAGTTGACGATAAAAGCTCTTTGTCCAAGATCTGGTGAACTACAGTATTGCCGGTCAAAATAGGCAGTACCGCGTTAGATCAGCCGTGTCCAAACTAGTATCTCAAAAATGCACGTTGCACCATTTATAGCAATGTTGTCTGGGAATTCTTTTCGTTCAGGCACATCTAGAAGATTTGTAGAAGGTTGAATCTGATGGGCAGTTATGTTGTGATGTAAGACATCTTCCTATATTTCCAGAATATATTTTTTTTTCTTCAACTTCATCCTTTCCTTGGGGAGGACTGATTGTTCTTTAACTACATTTCCCGTATGGATTTTCTTGCATGCATTTGTTTTTTACATGTTTGACTTTAGGAAGACAAAGGTGGGTAAGTCATATACTGCTGAGAAATGTTTTATTGGAGGTTTGAGTGAAAATACAATTCCCCACCCCCACCCCAACCTTAATAAACAACCTCAAACCTAGCAAAGGTGTGGTTGATAGGTGTGGCAGGAAATTAGCCAATTGTAGGCTGACCAAAGCAGTTGAAAAGTCAGTAGCCTTATTTCTGTAACTGTTGCTAAATCTGGGAATAAAACAGAGCACGAATATTCTTAGTCACAGGAAATGGAGTTAATAGGAAAGGGCTAACTCTACCTCTTCTGGTTAGTGTGATGTGGGTCTATACATATGTTGTTCATAGTATGTTTAGGTGTGTGTCATGTATGTGTTTCACTTTGAGAGCGGGCAACTAAATGTCATTTTTGATGTGTGCCATTGTGCCCACAGTATAAAAATGACAATAAAGGTTATCTTATCTAGAAGATGGGGCTTAAAGCATCTTCCTATCTACTGAGGAATCTGCTTCCCTTTAGTTTTACTACTTTGACTTCTAGAGGAACAGTGACTTTCCATTGGCTCTCTCTTGGGAGCCAGGAATATTAAAAGAAGGAAGAGTAGATGAAAACCAATGTTCTTTCTTAGCTGTCCAAAAGGCAGTCCCTGCAGTCACCTGCCAGCAAGAGGTGGCAGCTGAGAGAACTTCACGGGCTCCAAAGAGCTGGAATGCAGAGGAGCAAGTTGCAGTACCAGTTTGAAGTGCCCCCAAAAGTAGCAGGACTGAATGAACGTTGTACACAAACCTACTTGTCCACCTTGATGGACTAGGCATCAGCTAGCACCAGTCTTGCAGCAGCCTGAAGACAAACGTGTGAATGTGTGTGAATACCAGGGAAGGATCTGATTGGCCAGCTGGAAGGTTGAGGCTGCTTACAGGGCCATTGCCAACAGAGAGGGCAAGTAAGATGCCTAAGATGGGATGACAAGGTTGATGGCCCCAGAGCTATGACCTCACTTTCAGGGTTTCTATCTCAGATCTCCAAAGCAACAGAGAAGATCAAGGAATAAAGCATAAGCTAGATATGTTCCTCAAGGGGTTCAATTAGGAAAGGGATAAAATTTTTCATCAGCGTGTACCTCCTTACCAGAGACTATCAATATGGACCTTCTCCTCCCCCATTCATTAAGCCCCCAGTGATGCTTAATGCATCACCAAAGGCCCATGTCTTGAAGCTTGGCTAACAATGTGCCTCTGCAGGATGCATAGAAATCATGGGATTTTTCTCTACTATCCACAGATCTTCAAAACCCATTCTCAGTCTCTAAGCCCCATTCCCAGTCTCCTTCACCAGAATAACCAAGAGAAGTGTTTGTTACTCAAGGAATTTCCAGGAGTAACAAACAAGTTGTATATCCCACCTAAAGGAACCATATACAGCCAGTATACCTAACTATCAAAGTCATGTCTGTGATGGATTAACCTAACTATCAAAACCAGTGGTTCTGAATGGAGAAGATGCATTAATAGATATCAAGAAAAGAGCAGCTTGTAAGGCATCCATTCTGGGAATAAGGCCTGTAACCATCATCACTAGTGCTAGTGATGTCATTCAAGAAGTGTTGGCAGTAGTAGGCCCAGAACACAGAATTTATGTAGACACCTCTAAGGATTACTTACAGTTTGGAGCCAGATGTATGTCATAAGAAATGATGGGACAGAAGATCTGTGCCTCACTCATTGGGAGACCAACTACCAGTTAAAAGATAGCTGCACAGCAAAGCCCTTGGGCAGGCAGATCAGATAAGAAATCTTTGTACACAGCTGCAAGGAAGAAGGAAAATAGATGCAAGAGAAGTCCTGCATCACATTTTTATACTAAAAAATAAACTTTAAATAGAGCATATGTTTGCACCTAAAACTAAATTATTTTTACTGCACCGTGATACGGATCAGTGCCACATAACATTATGGTACAATGTAGAAGGAGTGGAACAAGACTCACCTGAAGTTGGTACATACTGTATATACTAAAGGGAGGGGAGTTTTTTTTTCTCATTGTTAAAGAAGAGACCTTAACTTCTGACTTTAGACACAAAAAGATGAAATTCACTTTTTGCTAACCAGAAAATTACTTCCTGATAAATCCAGTTTTGTACGCACTTACAACATGAATGGCAGAGCAAAATGGAAAATTGGATGGGGAGAACTTGAGCCCTGCTACAGTTGGAAATAGAAAGTGTTCCTGTGTGTGTGCAGCACAAACTAGAGATCCCGAGGAACAGTTCGATCTTGACTTCCACAGCAATGTGTAAAAGGTGGTGGGGACCCCTTGAGAAATGGTTGTAGTAGTTTCATATTCTCTGCTGGAGAGTGGAAGTGGATTAAGTACTAAAAAGCATCCTCCTGAATTGGGTCCCAGTTATCAGAGTCCTCCTTCCTCTGTGTGCTTATTCATTTAAAAGAATTCTCTGCTGCCTCTCACCAGAACTCCCCACATAATTTACAAAAACAAAGTGATTACATGAGGAAGGAACCCATGAAAAGTTGCAGAAACAAGTTAAACAGCCAGGAAAAAGACCCCCCCCCTTTCCCCCCCTAACTTCGAAAGAGCAAGTGTTGATAGCAGACATCTTTGGAAAGCTGGTTGGAAAATGCTATGATTGAGAAGGTTCTCTTAATAGATAATAATAATAATAATAATAATAATAATAATAATAATAATAATAATAATAATAATAATAATAATAATAATAATAATAATAATAATAATAATAATAATAATAATAGTAAAGTTGGAAGGGACCTTGGAGGTCATCTAGTCCAACCCTCTGCTCAGGCAGGAAACCCTATACCATTTTGGACAAATGGCTGTCCAGTCTCTTCTTAAAAACTTCCAGTGTTGGAGCATTCACCACTTCTGGAGGCAGGTTTTTCCACTGGTTAATTGTTCTCACTGTCAGGAAGTTTCTCCTTAGTTCTAGGTTGCTTCTCTCTTTGGTTAGTTTCCACCCATTGCTTCTTGTCCTGCCTTCAGACACTTTGGATAATAGCTTGACTCCCTCTTCTTTATGGCAGTCCCTGAGATATTGGAACACTGCTATCATGTCCCCCCTGCAGGGAAGACATGGGAGGCATAACATTTGACTGGATTTGTGTGTAATTGGTTCTCTTTCCTCTGCTAGGCTATGAACTCCTTTTCCAGCCAGAAATTGTCCGCATTTATATTTCATTGTCAAAGGAGAGTAAAACCCCAGCTATCATAGAAGCCTCAGCAGGAGCCATCCAGAATCTGTGTGCTGGTCGCTGGACGGTGAGTAACCACATAAAAGAGAAGCAGTGCTGTAAGTTAAATACCTTCCCCTTAAAATTAGTAACTCCAACAAAAGTCCCGTATTACATTAAGATAGCAAATGTTGGCTGGGTTTGCAAATCGTTAAAGTCAAGATGTTCTATATTGAACGAGCCACTGTGGCCTCCTGTCTTAAAGAGCTAAGTCGTAAATCACATCAAGCCAGAAACAGACAAGCAACTGCGGAGATTAATGAGGACCAGCCCTCAAGTTTGAGACTTCCAAAATAGCCATAGCTTGTTTGCCGCTTCCTCGTATGGTGAAGCTGCTTTTTCATCACAACTGTACGGATTGGTTAGAGATTTGGGAAGGGCACAAAGCTACATAAGTTGAAACAATTGCAAGCAGTCTATGCTTTCCCAAGGTCACATTAAACTAAGCCCATAGATGATGTTTGATAGATGCCAAGTGCAATCAGTCAAAGTGTCTGATTCACCAAAGTCAGAAACAGACACCTCTTAGTCATCATATGTAAGAGTAATAATTGATGTGATGCAACCCAGCTTTATATTTACAGGTAGTCCTCGACTTAGAACCATTTATTTAGTGACCAGCCTTTGCACTTAACGACCATTGCAGAGTCCCTGCGGTCATGTGGTCATAGTTTGGGTAATTGGCATGTATTTCAAGAGTTGCAACATGCCAGGGTCATGTGATTGCCATTTGTGATCTTCCCAGGTGGCTTCCAACAAGCAAAGTCAAGAGAGGAAGCTGGGTTCACTTAACAACCATGTGTGTGTGATTCACTTAACAATTGCAGCAGAAAAAGGTTGCAAAATCAGATGTGATTCACTAAACAACTGTAATGGAACTTCTGGTCCCAATTGTTGTAAGTCAGGGACTATCTGTAAGCCAAAACACAACTGCAAGCAGGCCATGCATTCCAAAAGTATTAAACTAAGCCATAGAGGCTGTTAGACAACTGTGTAAAATCAACCAAGGTGTCTGATCTATCAAAATCAGAAACAGACATAACTTAATCATTGTGTGCAACAGTGAGTAATCCAGCTTTATATTTATTTTTGTCCAGTATGTTGACTTGACCTTGTAGTATAAACATTACAAGTTCAGGTTGGCTGGTTCCATTAAATTTGACTTTCAATTTAAAGTTTAAAAAAAAGCACTATTCTCTTCCCTCCTGTAGTGTTTGCAGCCACAGGTATGCTGCTCATTATGTACTTCTCTATTGATGTAGTTCCATTCCTAAGAAAACAAAGCAAAAGTTAAAACACTCTACCACCAGCAATGCTATAAAAGTTTGCTGTTGTCACCATTTTTCCTTTCCCTTCTGAATAAATGTCCAGAAACACTCAGAATCCTATATGTGAGCTTCACAATTTTCTGCTTATTATAACAGAACAATACAAATATGGTACAATACAAATATTTTTGGATTACGAAAGTACAAATATCTATAGTAGTAACAAATAAGTTGTAATGGTAGAAAATGGGAGGTAGATGTATTAAGAGAAAGAACTGGAGAAAAATCCTAAAGTGTAAAAGACCTACAAAGAGAAGTAGAATGGCTGTAGAAAAAGAAAGTAAAGACAGCACCAATAATAATAGGCACTTTGGGTGCAGTTCCAAAATATCTGGAGATGACTTGAAAACCCATCAGCATTGACAAAATCACTGTCAGTCAATTGCAGAAGGCAGCTTTATTTGGAGCAGCTTATATCCTGTGGTGATACTGTTCACCCCATCAAACAACATTTGCCTATCACAGGTCTTTGAGGAGGACTCAATAGGTAGACAAAAATGTCAAATCCAAACTAAACATCTGGCTGACTGTGTGGCCAACCATAATAATAATAATTGGAGACTCTACTTCATATACTTTTAACCACTAAGACCCTTTCAATGGGATCCTGGCCTCTGATAATGATGAGTTTCCAATATAGAATAGTAAAAAAATAGTGAAGTCAGAATTATGGCAAAAACTTGCTGGTCCTGACCAGATAAACTGATCATGAAAAATATATTCAGTGGCAGTATTTGGGTTGACAGTGAGCTTTCTTGATAGAATTAATCACATTTTTTAAAAAAGAAGACTATATTGATTGATGTAGATGTAACACTGGAAAATATGATGCTTGAGAACAGCCTTCATCAATCAGTTTATTACCCTCCATATATTCTGGACCACAACTGCCCTAATGTCTAGAGAGGATGATCAAAGGTTGTGCTGGCTGGAGTTAGTAGGAATTGGAATCCATGACTGAATTCTAGTTCCAGACAACGGGGCACAAGGTTGAGCAGCAGTTTGGATGATGTCAGCAGCTAGTTGCATCTATTATAGCTCATATTCTGAGTTGAGTGTTGCTGTTCTTCCTTACAGTATGGGAGATACATCCGCTCTGCACTGCGCCAGGAGAAAGGTCTCTCCGCCATTGCGGACCAGCTGACCCATGACAGTGAGCGTGTGGTGAAAGCTGCATCCGGAGCCCTGCGCAACCTGGCAGTGGATTCCCGTAACAAAGAGCTGATTGGTAAGGGGAAAGAAAAGGGAGAAGCTCTCTACTGGGGTGGGGGGTGGGGGAATGTATCATTTAAGGAAAAATCCCACCAAAGTCATAATGTTATTCTTATTCGGTCATACCAGACTACCAGTGGCCAAATCAAAGGCTTTGTGCTACTTCCCAATCAGCATCAGAAATGGATGAAAAGGCAGGGCCAGCATAAAACTTGCATTTCCTCCTCCCCACCCCCTGGAGGAATCCCCTCAGTCTTTGTAGTGCGTAGTTGCCTTACCTCATTTAGGAAGGCGGATAGTATGTCCTTTAAAGGGAAGGAATTTGTTTATCGTTGATCACTGGCATTTTGTGAAGTTGAAAAGCAAGGGGAGGGGGTATTAGTGGCCCTCCCAGATATTGCTGAAGTTTAATGGGGCTGCTGGAATTTGTAGTTGAGAAATATCTGGAAGATTACCAGAATCCGATCCCTGGCCTAAAATCCCTCTGAATTAAATAATGTCTTTGCTTGACATTTTCGGAGCTTTAAGTTCCCTTTCTCTACCTCATCCCCCAAAACAGCGTTTGAAAACGTGGCGTTGACACGTTCACTTCTAAGTTAAAAACGCTGTAGCTTTTTGGGAAACTACAAATGATGATAATATGTGTCATTTTTCTGAAACAGAAAAAAAGTAGTTTGTGTTCTGGAGCAGCAAAACCTTTTCACGGTCCATTCCTTCGGGATTGCAATGAGAACGCCTTCCATTTTCTGCATCTTTTCAGTGTTAGAAGAGCAGTTTCTTCGATATGCTATATTTAACAGTCTCACTAATTATAATGGATTCATGTGCAATTATATATTTTGTTTCTTGTCTCCTTTCCTGATGTGCAATTTAAGTCTTGACTGCCATCTGTTTCTCCCATCATTGCATGCCATTATCCTGATTATGTATCACCACCTGCAGTCCTTCCAATATTTGACGTGTGAGCCTCCAGGAAATTCTTGCGTACAGTTTGCAGGATGGAGGCCCTGACGGCATACCTATCTGGCCGCTCTTGCTTATAATATTTTCTTTTTCCTCATTGTGGCTCTGATGTAATCCTACTCATAGGTAAGCATGCCATTCCCAGTTTGGTGAAAAATCTTCCAGGAGGACAGCAGACACAGGCAAAGAACCTCTCTGAAGACACGGTGATCTCTGTGCTGAATACTATCAACGAAGTCATCGCTGACAATCTGGAAGCAGCCAAGAAACTGCGGGAGACACAAGGCATTGAGAAACTGGTGCTCATTAACAAATCAGGGTGGGTAGAGTTTTGGGCAAGGGGGAGAAGTAAAGGAGGCTTGCACTTCTTTCTGTAAAAATGTCTGTCTCTGGGTGAGCGTTTTAGATTTTTTTTTTAATTTTAAGAGTAATTTTATTTAAAAAAAAACCAATAATAAAAACTAATAAAAACTTAAACAAAAGAATAAAAAGAAAAAATAGAAAGTACAGAAAAGAAAAATAATAGAAAAGAAAAATAGCAATATGGTAAAGAAAAAGAAATCTATAAAGAAATAACTTCCCCCTTCATGATAACAAATGTACACAAATTTAATAACTTACCATCTTTTCGTAAAATAAATCCTTAAAGCTCCATTCATCATTTCAGTCCCATTGTCAGCAAAAGTCCATTAAAGGCTACCAGAGATGCCACAACGATTTTAACCTTGATTAAATAAACCAACTTTTAGTCCTTCCTTTTACTTGTACCAGTCTTGATCTTTAATCCTTTCAAATAATATCCTGGAACTTGATTTCTTTTCATGTTTTCTTCATCCCTTTTCACAAAATTCTTCAAAGCTTTAACAAGTCTCTTTTGTAAAAACCAATAGAAGAAAATTACCCAGGTCACTCTCTTGGTTTGTTAGTTGTGTATATCCCTTTTAATTATTAAGACATAAGCCAATTACTTGTGTAACATCTGGGGAATGTCTTTTTCCATGTCATTCTTATAGCCTGTCATTTTTAAAATCCACTTTCAAATCAGTCTTGATCGTTTCAGATAACACTTATTCCTCTTCCATATCATCTCTGAACTCGGCCTGTCTGTAGAGGCAGATATTCTTAAAAGTAACTCCAGGGTCCCTTGTTCAAAAATATCTAATTGATTATTTATTTATTAAATTTAGATGCCACCACGTCACTATCCAAACAGCCTGGGTGGCTTACAATAAATTGGTTTTTTTTTAAAAGAATTCAAAACAAAAACGTTTCCCATGGGAAGGATTCTTTATAATTAATTCCAAACTTATTTCAAATTTATGTGGACCTTCAGTCCATTTGTAACTTTCTAAAATCAAAATTTGATCACCTCTTTGCTGTTTATTTCCCCTCCTCATTTTTTTTAAAGTCCTTATACTTGTATTTAAAACTTAATTTGCTAAGGATTGAGGGAAACTCACCCAGTGCTGTAAATATTGGTCAGTCCAAAGGTTCCTAACAGCTGTAAAACAGTTAACAAGAATTACCACAAGGGAAGGAAGTACTCCGTGCCCTTTCACAGGCACTGTCTTGTTGACTATTCCCTCGTTTCCTGGTTCTCAAAACCTGCTGGAAACCACTGTCTTGTGGTCTCCTTGTGGGGAGCAACTGTCTGGAGCACTTCTGGGCACACTCGAGTCCGTTCCTTATTTCAGACTTTTATAATGCATTTTGCTTTTTTTTCTTGCTAGGAACCGATCAGAAAGAGAAGTCAGAGCCGCCGCTCTTGTGCTGCAGACCATATGGGGGTACAAAGAATTGCGGAAACCCTTAGAGAAGGAAGGTTGGAAGAAATCCGACTTCCAGGTACCCGGGGGCTGAAATGGAAAGATTGGGAAATGGAGATCTTGATGAGTCTGAAAGCTACTTCTAAGTTGCTTTTACTCACACACATTTATTTATATATAGCTTTCATACGCTATGGGCAGTTCAGTGGTTAGTACCAATAGTAATAGGCGCCTTGGGTGCAATCCCAAAACAACTGGAGCACTACTTGAACACCATTGGCATTGACAAATTCGCTATTAGTCAATTGCAAAAGGCGGCCTTACTATGAACTGCTTCCATCCTACGACGATATCTGTATTACCATCAAACATCCACATCTGCCTATCCCAGGTCCTGGGTAAGGACTTGATAGGTAGACAAAATGCCAAATCCAGTCTGAATATCTGGCTGACTGTGCGATGATCCAGATAATAATAATAATAATAATAATAATAATAATAATAATAATAATAATAATAATAATAATAATAATAATAATAATAATAATAATAAAGTTGGAAGGGACTTTGGAGGTCATCGAGTCCAACCCCCTGCTCAGGCAGGAAACCCTACACCATTCCGGACAAATGGCTGTCCAGTCTCTTCTTAAAAACTTCCAGTGTTGGAGCATTCACCGCTTCTGGAGGCAGGTTGTTCCACTGGTTAATTGTTCTAACTGTCAGGAAGTTTCTCCTTAGTTGTAGGTTGCTTCTCTTCTTGATTAGTGTTGGCTGGAAAACCAGCAGCCCAGCTTCGAGACCTGAATGCCACGCGACTACGTGAGCACCCATCTTTGTCCCTGCTCCTGCCAACCTAGCGGTTCAAAAGCATGCAAATGCAAGTAGATCAATAGGTACCACTTTGATGGGAAGGTAACAGCGCTCCATGACGTCATGCTGGCCACATGATTGTGGAAATGTCTTCGGACAGTGCTGGCTCAATGGTCTTAAAAAGGAGATGAGGACTGCCTCCTGTAGTCGGCAACGACTAGCAGAGTAAAAACTGCAGGGACTTTTTTTTTTAATCTTTTATGTAAGATGTGTGATAGCTTGAAACCAGTTCAAGACACTTATTATTGTTCTGTCCTACCTCGAGCAGTATCTACAGTATGTTCCTATCTCTTGCCCTTAAGGTAATTTCTGTGAAATGGTTAGAATAAGGTTCATTAAGGATTATTGCTGAATGGGGCTTGGAACTCAGATCTTCCCAGTCCAGTCTCATATGCCGATGATTGCACTGCTCCAAAGAAGGAAGGTGAAAAGTGTTGTGCTCATGCCATCTGTTGAAAATGTAATTTGCAGAATATAGCTGCATCCGTCTTCGGCAAAAGCTTGCTTTTGTGGTTTTGCTTTCACTCTAGAGCATGGGTGTCAAGCCAGATCGCATCGCGGGCCGTATCGGGATGTTTTTTGCCTTTGCGGAGCCAGGATGGGCGTGGCCTGCATGGGCCGGATGTGGCCTGCTCTAGAGCATGGATGTTCAACCTTGGCAACTTTAAGACTTGTGAACTTCAACTCTCAGAATGGAGAATTCTGGGAGTTGAAGTCCACAAAGTTACCAAAGTTGGACAGCCCTGCTTCAGAGAATATTCTGGGTATATATATGTGCACACAGAAGCATACAGAATCATAAAAATCTCCAAGAGCTGGTTGGCACCAGATCATGCCAAAGATAGAATAAAACAACAGTTTTTCATGACATTATAAATGTATTGAACATTTCCACTATTTTTCCACAGGTAAATTTGAATAACACCTCTAGAAGCCAGGGTGGCAACTCCTTTGATGACAGTACCTTGCCCCTCATTGATAAAAATCAAAAAGGTAAATACTGAAATAAGATAAAATAACCTTTATTGTCATTTTTTTAGTGTGGGCACATTGGCGCACATTAAAAATGAAATTCTGTTGCCTGCTCTCAAAAGTATACATATACATAACACACATATAAACAAGCTACATAAACACACATATAAACATGCTATATACAACATATGTATATACCTACACCCTTACGTATAAATACATATAAATATTAATCACTGTCCATCTTGAATACATAGCGGAAAGAGGAAGCTTGAGAGTTCACAAGGTTAATACTTGTGACTGAATCTAGATGTTCTACTTCAGCTGTGGTATTCTCGCAGGTATTTATGTGTGCAAAGAAAGAAGTCCAGGTTTGGATGTTCTTGACTTACAACCATTCATTTGGTGACTGTTCAAAGTTAAAACAGCCCAGAAAAATGACCTGTGTCCGTTTTTCACACTTGGGACCATCGCAGCATTCCGACGGTCATGTGATCAAAATTTGGACCTTTGGCCATTGGCAGGTATTTATGATGGTTGCAGTGACCCTGGAGTCACCTGATCTCCTTTTGCGACCTTCTGACAAGCAAAGTCAGTGAGGAAGCCAGATTCACTTAGCAACCATGTTACTAACTTAACAACTGCACATAGCAAGAAAGGTCGCAAAATCGGGCAAAAGTCATGTAACAACTGTTTTGCTGAGCAACGGAAATTTGGGGCTCAACTGTGGTCCTAGGTCGAAAACTACCAATAATGCTTTTCTTCTTTGCTCCCCTGCTAGTTCTATTCTAGCAATGGATTTTTCTGGAGCCCGTAGGGGGCCAAGTGGGTTTTAAGAGAATAAGATTAGACAAAGGAAGAAGGCAGTTGTGTCAGTGCTCTGTAATCCAATCATCTGAGTCCGGTCTGTAATCTATCAGACTACAACAGATAATTTCGGTTCTTAAAGAGAACAGGAATGGTTTATGTGTGAGTGTTGTACGTGGGTTCTTATAACGTGCATTTATTATTTAAGTTTTAATATTTAAAAATGTGAGGGAAATTCCTTTAGACCTCCTCTCTTAGATAAGCTTAATTTTCCGCCCTTCTTCTGGGGTGTTACAGTTTCTTGATTAATGTTTTTAAATTGTATACTAAATTGTAGTACTAGGAGTTGAAATGCTTCATTGGTCATAAAGCAAATGATGTATCTATGGAATGATTTTTTTTTAAAGAAGCAAGATAATTTATATGGCAAACAGAACAGAAGTTTATATTGCAAACAGGACAGAAAAGACAAAACTGAGACTCATTATCAAAGTGCACTGCCCTCTAATTGTAGTTGGGCATTTTTACTATGAAAATGGGATTATGGAAAATTATATGCAGCCTATTGGAGAAACCACAATTTTCCTTAAGGGTAAATAAGAGAGTACAGAAAAATTATGAACAACCCACTCCTACTGGTGCATGCCGACCTTCCTCATTTATCAGCCAGAAGGCTCAAATCCAAGAAGCCCCCAATGGCATTTGCACAGCATCTGCCCAACAACTTTAACATCAATTCCCAATGGAAAACCAAATGGGTCACTGGACGCCCAGTCATAGGGAGACAGATAAATGGACCCCACAAAAAGGGTGTCAGGGTTTGAACTCCCACATCAGCAATAGACAAGCCTGAATAGGATTTGCATCTCACGTGGCATGTGCCAGGACTCTCTGTTATAAATGGGGCATAGCATCCTCCCCTCAGTGTGACTGTGAGATCCCACGTCAAACTGAAGATCACCTCGTGACCAGCTGTAAGCTGAGGGCATATACCAGTCCAGTATCTGATTTTTTTTAATATAAACAATGCTGCGGTTAGATGGTCTAGACATTGGTATTTAAACATAGATTTTTTGACATTTATATTATATTGTGTTCTAATAATCTAGATGAAATGTTAATATATGTTGCTAGTCTATGTATGTTATGCCATACGCTAAATAAAAAGGTTCATCTAAAAGTTTGTAACATGGATAAAAATAAGAACTTACCGTATATACTCGAGTATAAGTCGACCCGAGTATAAGCCGAGGGACCGATTTTCCCACAGAGAACTGGGAAAAATTGGTGACCCGCGCATAAGCCGAGGGGGCATTTTGGCTGTTCCTCCCTGGCCGCCGCCCCACCCCCGCCGCCCCACCCCCGCCGCCGCCNCCAGGGTGGCAACTCCTTTGATGACAGTACCTTGCCCCTCATTGATAAAAATCAAAAAGGTAAATACTGAAATAAGATAAAATAACCTTTATTGTCATTTTTTTAGTGTGGGCACATTGGCGCACATTAAAAATGAAATTCTGTTGCCTGCTCTCAAAAGTATACATATACATAACACACATATAAACAAGCTACATAACACACATATAAACATGCTATATACAACATATGTATATACCTACACCCTTATGTATAAATACATATAAATATTAATCACCGTCCATCTTGAATACATAGCGGAAAGAGGAAGCTTGAGAGTTCACAAGGTTAATACTTGTGACTGAATCTAGATGTTCTGCTTCAGCTGTGGTATTCTCGCAGGTATTTATGTGTGCAAAGAAAGAAGTCCAGATTTGGATGTTCTTGACTTACAACCATTCATTTGGTGACTGTTCAAAGTTAAAACAGCCCAGAAAAATGACCTGTGTCCGTTTTTCACACTTGGGACCATCGCAGCATTCCGACGGTCATGTGATCAAAATTTGGACCTTTGGCCACTGGCAGGTATTTATGATGGTTGCAGTGACCCTGGAGTCACGTGATCTCCTTTTGTGACCTTCTGACAAGCAAAGTCAGTGGGGAAGCCAGATTCACTTAGCAACCATGTTACTAACTTAACAACTGCACTTAGCAACTGTGGCAAGAAAGGTCATAAAATGAGGCAAAAGTCATGTAACAACTGTTTTGCTGAGCAACGGAAATTTTGGGCTCAGCTGTGGTCATGGGTCGAAAACTACCAATAATGCTTTTCCTCTTTGCTCCCCTGCTAGTTCTATTCTAGCAATGGATGTTTCTGGAGCCCGTAGGGGGCCAAGTGGGTTTTAAGAGAATAAGATTAGACGGTTTGAAGGAAGAAGGCAGTTGTCAGTGCTCTTAAGTTTTAATATTTAAAAATGTGAGGGAAATTCCTTTAGACCTCCCCTCTTAGATAAGCTTAATTTTCCGCCCTTCTTCTGGGGTGTTACAGTTTCTTGATTAATGTTTTTAAATTGTACACTTGATTAATGTTTTTTAAATTGTATACTAAATTGTAGTACCAGGAGTTGAAATGCTTCATTGGTCAAAAAGCAAATGATGTATCTATGGAATGATTTTTTTTAAAAAAAAAGAAGCAAGATAATTTATATGGCAAACAGAACAGAAGTTTATATTGCAAACAGGACAGAAAAGACAAAACTGAGACTCATTATCAAAGCGCATTGCCCTCTAATTGTAGTTGGGCATTTTTACTATGAAAATGGGATTATGGAAAATTATATGCAGCCTATTGGAGAAATCACAATTTTCCTTAAGGGTAAATAAGAGAGTACAGAAAAATATGAACAACCCACTCCTACCGGTGCATGCCGACCTTCCTCATTTATCAGCCAGAAGGCTCAGATCCAAGAAGCCCCAATGGCATTTGCACAGCATCTGCCCAACAACTTTAACATCAATTCCCAATGGAAAACCAAATGGGTCACTGGACACCCAGTCATAGGGAGACAGATAAATTGACCCCACAAAAAGGGTGTCAGGGTTTGAACTCCCACATCAGCAATAGACAAGCCTGAATAGGATTTGCATCTCACGTGGCATGTGCCAGGACTCTCTGTTATAAATGGGGCATAGCATCCTCCCCTCAGTGTGACTGTGAGATCCCACGTCAAACTGAAGATCACCTCATGACCAGCTGTAAGCTGAGGGCATATACCAGTCCAGTATCTGATTTTTTTTTAAATATAAACAATGCTGCGGTTAGATGGTCTAAACCAGGGTAGGCAACCTCGGCTCTTTTATGACTCATGGACTTCAACTCCCAGAATTCTCGAGTCAGCTATGCTGACTCGGGAATTCTGGGAGTTGAAGTCCATGAGTCATAAAAGAGCCGAGGTTGCCTACCCCTGGTCTAGACATTGGTATTTAAACATAGATCTTTTTGACATTTATATTATATTGTGTTCTAATAATCTAGATGAAATGTTAATATATGTTGCTAGTCTATGTATGTTATGCCATACGCTAAATAAAAAGGTTCATCTAAAAGTTTGTAACATGGATAAAAATAAGAACTTAAGTTGTATTCAAGTATTACTAAAACTATTTAACCAGTAAAAGAGTGGGAATCATAGCCATCTAAGTCCCAGCTCTAATATTATGGTATTATCTATGTCCCTTTTCAGATCTACGTGTAGAAGTTGATTCTAAAATCTTGCACTGTTTCTACTTAATCTTTTAAATACACTACTTACAATATTTTTAAGAAACCCTACATTTGTAGTTCAGGAGAATTTCGGTACCCTAACTGTTCTGATTTCATTTTCGGTTTAGACAAGAAATCCTCTCGGGAAGAGATCCAAATGGGAAATTTGGGACCAGGTATGTAAGTTTCAGTCTTATAGAAGAAATTGTTTTTTACCAATCTAAAGCAGCTTTTATTGGATAAACCCATTCACCCTTTTGCAGCTTCAGAAAAGTGCCAAGCTCCCATGTCTCCTTCTGCATGCCTACTTACCAGAATGTCACCAATCCGTTTCATTGTAGAGATGTAAATGCTTCCGTTAGACCGGGGGTAGGCAACCTTGGCTCTTTTATGACTCATGGACTTCAATTCCCAGAATTCCTGAGCCAGCCATGCTGAGGGGAAAGGGAGAGGTTTCCAAACTGAGCCATGCTGGCTCAGGAATTCTGGGAGTTGAAGTCCACGAGTCATAAAAGAGCCAAGGTTGCCCACCCCTGAGTTAGACGCAAGTAGTCCTTGAACTTGTGAACCACAATTTGCATTGAATTTTCAAATGACCAGAATTTCCATTGCTAAGCAAGGTGGTTGTTGAGTGAGTCCCGCCCAATTTTACAACCTTTTTTGCCATGGTTGTTAAGTGAATCACTGCAGTTGTTAATGAATCATTAGGCCGCAAGCGAACCTGGCTTCCCCCATTGACTTTGATTGTCAGAGGTTGGCTGGGAAGGTTGCAGATAGAGATTACATAACCCTGGGAAGCTGCAGCCATCTTCGTAAATATGTCCCTGTTGCCAAGTACCTGAACTTTGGGTAACTACGGGGATGCTGCAGCTATTGTAAGTGCAAGGAGCAGTCATAAGTCATTTTTTTTCAGTGCCATTATAACTTTGAACAGTCACTAAATGAATGATTACAAGTTGAGGATTACCTGTTCTTGCTTTGAATAAGCCCCTTCAATCATTGAGCTTGTTAATCTTTTGCGATGTTATCTTTAGTCCTTATTAGCCGTGATGCCTTCATCACTTGTTACAACAAATAGTGACATTAAAGATTTAAGCTGGAGACAGTCTAAAAGTCTCTAGCTTTACCAGAACGGAACCAAACTGCATGGATTCTTATTACAGCTCATTGCTCTTTTTCACAGGCGTATAGCTACTGCACCCACGAACCTAACCCTCAGATTGATCAAACTCTTGCAGGAACTATGCTTGGTATACTTTAGTCTTTGAAATCAAAATGAGTGAGTTAATAACTTCATTACACTGCAGAGCAGAGAAGAATTTCTTCTAAGCCAAGGATTATACTTGAACTTTGAGCCAGGTGCCAGAGGTTACCCTGAAAAAGAGATAGAAAGGATCAGAATAAGGAAAGATTTCTTTTCCCCTGAATTGCCATTAAAATTAAATATAATTCATACGAATTATTTGTATTCCATGTTGAGTAGTTCCATAGGGCCTGGCTTGCAGGTAGCATTATTGGTGACAAGAAGGGGAAGAGTGCAAAGGGTTAGGATTAGTGTGTGGCAGGGAAATAAAAGATGAGCCCTGTTTGCTGGTTGTTTGGTAAGCAATAATGTGATTGTGGAGGAGGAAGGAAGCCATTATCTTTGCCAGCTTCACCAGAGAATTTCCCTCCCATCAATATCTCTTTTGATTTCAGACTACTCTACATTGAATGAACGGGACCATAACAGGACATTGGACCGGTCTGGGGAAGATATGGAACCTATGAAGGGAGCGCCACTGGTGGTAAATACTGGGATTTCAGTTGATGGGAGATCTTTAGAGAACCTTCTTGGTCAGTGGGACATCCTTGCCCAGATTGATGGCCTCCTTATAGTTTGATCTGCACTCCCATATTTTCCTGGCACTATGGCTTATAAGAGTTAAAGTGTGACACAGTTGGAGGCCAGTTATTTGGAGAAATTAGCTACGCACAGAGGAAGCTAGGAAAGAGCAGAAATTACTGCATTTCTGTGATGGTAGAAAAAGAATTTTCTGAAATTTACTTTTGAACAGACAATATTTTTAAGAAGATAATGTCTTGAGAAAAATGCAAATATTAACCATTTCTTCCCCTTCCTCCTTTTAAAGTGATGTTAACACTTTTAACTGAATGACTAACCAACCCTGTTGACTCCTCTCTCTTTATTTGACCTCTACTTTTTCTGAGTGGATTTTTAGTTAGGCTTTTTGTCTCTCCCTTTCTCCCTCTCCTTCTCCCACTTGGAACCCAGTGTGCTGCTCTTACTAACCATACATATGTCTACAGCAGGAGGAAAGGCACGAATCCCTTGAGGAAATTGACCAGTTGCTTTATCCTCCTATGGTATGTCTTTGCTTTCTGATAATAACCCTCTACTTCTGTGGTTTTTTTTAAAAAAGGGGGTGGTGCTGAATCTTTATTTTCCTCAATCATACTTTTCTAGGGTCAAATCTTGTGTATTTCTTTTACACAAAAGGCATTCGTATTTGTTGTTGAGGATGAGCAATACTTAAATTACTGAGGTTTGGATTGATTCTATGGGGTTAGATTGCCATGGATAAAGCTGCCCTTTGCTGTTTTTCATTATAGCTAATGTTAATTTGTTTGTGTTTTTCCACAGCAGAAGATCTAGAGATGCTACCATCTGCCTTCTCAGTTTTGGGTTCATAACATATTTTATATAACTCTTATGATGAAATGGACTGAGCTTTTTTTTAAACCTTGGGGCCATGTAGCCAAATGACCGGGTCCCTGACCCACAGGGTCTCACATCTCCCTGTAGAATTTGAACTCCTGGACGTCATATTTTTGTTTTTTATTCTTCAAAAAAAAAAAAATCCTAAAGACCAAATACTCTTGATGGATCTCATTACACAACAAAGGCAGATACTTAAAAATACACATTTATGATGCAATCTACAGAAGCTGATGGAAACAATCGGAGCAAATGGATGTCAGCCAAACTCAATCATACTGGAACTTGTTTTTATTAAGGAGATGTTGGCTCTCTTCTTCCAAAAAGCAGAGAGAGAAGCCATCTCCATCTTCTCTTAGCCTATAGAATATATTTTTGTGTGTCACTCATGTTTGCAACAAAGGATGCTGGGAATACTGGAACATTCCTAGTTGGGGGGGAGTTGGTGGTGGTGGGGGCAAGATGACAAAAGGGATCAGCTTGTGCGTGATTGCATTTGGGTCATCTGCCCTTCAAGATGCGCCTCTTTGAGACAAATACCTTCTTTATCCTCATAGGCTGAGGACAAATAATAGATTTGTCTCTTTTTTTTCCCCCTTCTCCTGTCTCTTAGCTGCTTCTTGATGGCCTTTCTGAGATGGATCAACTCAGAGTTTAGGAAGCTATTTATTTGTGGGAGAAGAGATGCTTAGGGCTTAGTGCTTTAAGGGAGGGAAAGAGGATGGAGCACGTTAAATGACAGTTGGTGGAAGGGGCATAGTCTTCATACCTAGAAGTGTCCATTTTGCCTCTCAGTGGAGAGGGCAGTGTGATGCATCTGGTTTTGGGTCGCTGACTTAAGTGGTGAGTGCCCAGATTGGGCCACAAATTGCAGAGAGAGCTGATGAGATAGAAAGCTTGGTGATGCAGGAAGTATGAGGGATAGAAGGCCATTTGTAAATATTGCCCATATCCTCCCATGCAGGCAAGGGAATGAAACTATGATCGGTCACTATTTACATGTGCCTTTTCTTTCTTACTGTGAAATAGCTTGGTGCTTTTGGCTAATTTCAGGTGCAGAGGGCCAATCCCTAGGCCATAGAGATTTCGGCACAGAGTTCCCTCCTGCTCGCTCTCTCTCTCTCCCCCCCCCTCCCTCCCCCTCCCTTCCTTTCCCTCCCCCCCTTCTCTCCCTTCCTTGCATTGAAATCAGAGTCCTGCTGTTGCCCTGGATGTAGACACAAGATTGGGGAGGGGTGATAGAGGCAACTATGTGGGGGAGACAAGGAACTAATCTGTCACTGCTAAAGAGAGGAAGGAGAGAAAGGACTCTTTGGGTGAGGATCACAATGTGCACCTTAGTGGGTTGCTTCTTCAGGGAATAAGGAATTTAGGGTCTGCTTACAGATCTCTGCCTTTAATCTGCAAAGTAGCAGTAAAATGGGCAATCATGAATTACTCTGGGCACCATATTGGCGCCAGTTGCCCTTTTATTGTTGAAGAGGACTACAACCTCTCTCGCCCCCCACAGCTCTGCCTCCATCCAACAACTGGAAGGAACTCGGTTACTCTTGGCTTCTCTCCACCTCCCCATTGCACAAGAGGGAAGGTCTACAGTAGAAAAGTTTTACTGCCTCTGCTTTGTCCCAGTCCAGTTTTTCTTACCCTTTTTTTTGGGGGGGGGGAATTAAAGATATAAATCAAGGCCCTCTGAGGGGTTGCGCAACTTTTCTAATGTAAAACACTATTTCCTTTTTTTAATCCAGATGAACCAAAACTACCCTTCCCCAATGACCAATTCAGTGCTGTAGAAGAAACTAATCACTCATTGACTCTCATTTTTTGCTTTTCCTCTGCACCCCTGGGGAAGGGGACATCCTGCTGTTCTTTTTGAGTCCTTATTCATTCTGCAATGCTTTTAAATTGAAATGATTTTTATATAAATAAAGTTTTAAAGTGTGTATTTGTTAAAATGGAATTGACTAATCCAAATCTTACCGAGTTTGTCTCTTGCTGTCTTTTGTGATGACCAATCCGTGCACCCTAAAAAAAGTTTTTGCTTATTTCAGGAGGGATTAATTCCTCCTGCCTCTAGTGTGTGTGTGTATATCCCTATTCTAAAATAAGCACTGCTAAATGAGGCTTTGACCCAGTTCTTAAATGGCCTCACCTGCTTTTGCTCTTGCAAAGAGAGTGGGATCATAAAACAGGAATGGGTGGTGCTAACATAACATTCCTCTTTGCAGAATGTATCTCTGCTTCTATCGTGAAAATCTTCATTTTGGAAGATTGAATCATCTTGGCAGAAAAAGGAAACACATTTTCAAAAGGCAGGTCATCCTGAAGTTGACTTGTAGAAAGATGCAAAGATTTAACCCTCCCTTACTGATGGGTCTCCTCCTGTGCTACAACATCCTACACCCTTCCACTTCAGACATCACAGACAAGTAGAAATGTTACTAGTGCCTCCAATTTGAGTTAACTGAGACCACTGATACAAAAGGGGGGTTTTTTTATGATGGAAATGAACCTTAATTCTTTAGAAGCAGCAAGGAAAATGGAATGCAAATACTGATTTCAGGATCTGAGAAAGAGAGCACGGCATCTGTCACCCATCATTTACAGATCTCTTGTACAAACAAGCGGCATTGTTACTCATTGGCTGTTTGTATGCATCTGTAAGTATGTGAATAGTCCAGGCTACTGTACACCTGGTAACCTTGGTGTTCTAGATAACCATAATTCCAATTCCGCCTGGCCATCCATTGGTCAAGCTGCCTCGTATTTTAGAGCAGGAATTAATAACTTTGGGAATCTGCTTTTTCTGTCCTGGGACACCAGTGAAATAAGCAGATGATACCACTCCAATGGTATCATAAAGAGGAACTAAAGAGCCTCTTGATGCGGGTGAAGAAGGAGAGTGCAAAAGTTGGCTTGAAACTCAACATTAAGAAAACCAAAATCATGGCATCCGGCCCTCTCAATTCCTGGCAAATAGATGGGGAAGAAATGGAGGTAGTGATAGATTTTATTTTCCTGGGTTCCAAGATCACCTCAGATGGGGACTGCAGCCAAGGAATTAAAAGACGCTTGCTCCTGGGGAGGAAAGCTATGGCAAATCTAGAGAGCATACTAAAAAGCAGAGACATCACCCTGCCAACAAAAGTGCGTATAGTCAAGGCCATGGTTTTCCCAGTTGCAATGTATGGATGTGAAAGTTGGACCATAAGAAAGGCTGAGCGCCAGAGAATTGAGGCCTTTGAACTATGGTGCTGGAGAAGATTCCTGAGAGTCCCTTGGACTGCAAGGTGCTCAAACCGGTCAATCCTAGAAGAGATCAACCCCGACTGCTCTTTAGAAGGCCAGATCCTGAAGTTGAAACTGAAATACTTTGGCCACCTAATGAGAAGGAAGGACTCACTGGAGAAGGGCTTAATGCTGGGAAAGATTGAGGGCAATAGAAGAATGGGACGACAGAGAATGAGGTGGCTGGATGGAGTCACTGAAGCAGTAGGCGTGAACTTAAATGGACTCCAGAAGATGGTAGAGGACAGGAAGGCCTGGAAGGAATGTTGTCCATAGGGTCGTGATGGGTCGGACACAACTTCGCAATTAACAACAACAAATAGTGAGCTAACAGGTTGTTTTTTTGAGTTGGTAGTTTTTCTACAGGGGCACGTGGGTATTTACCTTCAAGATCTGAATAGTGCAGCAGGTGTTAGTAGCCCAGTTTCAGCATGAGGCTAGGTGTGTCATCTAGTCTTCTAAGGAGGTGCCAAGAAAAGCTCTTTTCAAACATCGGCTTCAGGGTTCCAACTTAACAGGTGTGGCTAACTGACTCTTGCTTCGCTTTTTTGAGCTTCATATTACATGTGATGGGGGTAATGTGAGGGATGCAGTGGAAAGAAGGTGGATGTTTATTCTTTACTGACTTAGAAATAAGGACATAAATCAGATGGCTTGAGGTCAGAGCCTATATGAAACCCCTTCCAACGTTGTCACTGAATTTTAGTTCTTATTGTGACATGGCATCATGTTATGAATTGTTATAGGCCAGTGGTGGCGAACCTATGGCACGGGTGCCAGAGGCGGCACTCAGAGCCCTCTCTGTGTGCACACGCTGTCGCCCCAGTCCTAGGCCTTCAGCTGGGTTTTATAAAACCTTTTCACTTTAGGCCTCCGCTGCTGTGTGCAAAAAAAAAAAAAAAGGTTCAATCAGTCAATTTCAACTTCTCGTGGGAAAAAAAAAATCTTGCAAAGTTGGAATTGATTGATTGAACTTTTTAGTCCCACCCAGTCTGCCGTTACCACTGCAGCCACGCCCACCCAATGGGCCACACCCATCCGGCACCCGACGATGCATAAGTGGGTTTTGGGTTGCAGTTTGGGCACTCGGTCTCTAAAAGGTTCACCATCACTGTTATAGGCTGTGTTCATTGCAGGTGTTTAACTTTTAATTAAATTCTGATTTAAGTCAGTGTGCTGCAGCTGCCAAAAGAGCCGGTTGGTCTGCATTTGTAGAGATACAGCGTTGAGATAAGGAGAAGCAACAGTTCTGCTCTATGCTGTACCAGTCAGACTGCATCTGTGGTAGTGTGCCCAGTTCTGGTCACCATGAGGATACTGAGATCTTGGGGGGAAAAAAGTAGGGAAGAGCAGTACAAATGGCTTGGGGGCTAAATCCTATGAACAATTAAAAGGCCTGAATATGTTTAACCTGCAGACAAAAAGGCTAAGGGAAGGAATAATAGCGTCCTAGCAAAATTTGTGCTGGCAGAGGGAAGAGGGTGGGGATTTATTCTCCATAATGCCTAAAGATAGGCTAGGGCAGGGGTAGGCAGCCTCTGCTCTTTTATGACTCATGGACTTCAACTCCCAGAATTCCTGAGTCAGCATAGCATAGCTGACTCAGGAATTCTGGGAGTTGAAGTCCATGAGTCATAAAAGAGCCGAGGTTGTCTACCCCTGGGCTAGGGCAAGAAACCTACAGGTGAAAGCTTTACAGAGAAATCCAGATTTGAAGTGGAAGAATTCTTTGACAATGAGAACTGTTAAGTGATGAAACGGTCTGCTTCCTCAAGACATGGATGCTGCTCCATTGGAAAATTTCAAGGAAAGGTTATCGTGGAAGAATAAGCAGGCATTGCTGAAAGAGTAGACGCCCAGGAAGAAACACAAAGGACCATGAAGGCGAAAGCCCAGTCAAGGTAATGATTACCAGGTTACCTCTCAAGGTGGCAATTCAGATCAAAAGATGATCCCAAACATCTGTTAAGTCACCACAAATTGAAATGGGTCAATGCGGTGCTGTGGCACAGTATGAGCGTGGTGTTTTTGATACAGAAAAGAGCCAAAAGTGGCTTGGCTGACAGAATAATAAAATTTTTGGATTGTTTTAACTCTGATTTGCTCTCCAATGATGCTCTGAATAGTTTACTTCCTGCAGCAGTCTTTGCTGTTCTGGT